TTAACGCGCCTGTCGTCAAGTTCTGTCGACACAAAGCAATTGAAGTCGTTTTTTCTGGACTTTGGTAAATTGATATCACAATTCTACCAGATACACACATTCCCTAACAGCTGCCCCCAGATCAGGACCTGCACCACCCTTGAATAAGCACAGTTGCTTCCTTCCACCAGTTGGCATCCAAAGACACCAAAACTCAAGCCTACCAATTTCACGCGTCAAACACAATGCAATCCATGACCACGTATCTCCCGGAATGGGTTCGCAGGAACGCAGCAGTCAACAATGGCCGCGTCTTCCACAAATTTCCCCAACTTCCATATAAAATCCGCGCCAAGATATGGGGATTCGCAAACTCCCGACCGAGAATCATCATTTGCGAAACGTGGCGCAAGAAGAGTAACGGCTACCAAAAACCCCCACAACGTCCCGTCACATTTTCTGTGAACCGCGAGTCGAGAGAAGAGGCTAAGAAGAGCTACGCTCATTTGTATACCCCTAGCTTCGGCCACTCCCTCGATCTGAATTTCATGAGTGATACGATTTTCTTGAAAAACGAGGGTTGCGACCTTCATGGGATGTCACATTGTGGGTACTCGTCACACATGACATACACTGCGGAGAAGAGCATTAGATCTTTGATTCTGCCATTTGAATTGAAATTCGTACCGGATAGGCTCGCGGCCAGCCCAGAGCTCCAGCTCCCTTGGGAGCCTCGCAGAATGCAACAAAGCGACTTGATAGCAACGATCGAAACCATACAAAGGTTCCCTGCCGCTAGAGTTGTATTCATCTTCTTGGATCGCTTTAGCGAAAACAATCTCTCGAAAGAAGACATGGACAAGGCTGAAGAAAGAGTGGTGGAGTTTGTGGAAGATAGTCTGAGGGTCGAGCAACTGAAGTGCTCTAGCCAGCATTCTGCTCAATGCGGTTGTCACGGTAGGGCTTTGCCGCAAATCAAATGCCTGCTGAGTTTCGATCAATTGAAGGATGACCTTGGGGCTGAGGTTTTCAGAGTCGATGGAAGCAGAGTAAGTCACCATTCCTCAAAATGTATACCATGCAGCTAACAACAACCTAGGCCCCCGTTTTTTACCCCATCTACAACAAACTTATTCAGAGGGCCCAAATTGTGACTTGTGGTGTAGCGTTGTTACTGATGCTGTACAAGCACTTGTGCATCCGCTCTGATAGACAAGGAGTGATACTATTAATATTGGCAATAATAGAATATTGCTAATGGTTCTTTTCCCTAACCGACCAGATGAATAGATGGAGTTCATACTTTGTAATTATAGAACGTTTATCAGGGTTTCCAAACACTCTAATTAGAGAGACATTGATCTTTCCTTTGAAATTTGTATTCTACAGATGAGCTCTGAAATGAAAGAATGACTCTAGAGATGTGGCTAGAATTTCAGTGAATCGCTTTCCGTATCTTCAAGTGGTGAATGACCCAAACGCGTAGATGGCTGGTCTGAACAAAAGACGTCGATTCACCGCCTCATGCTTGAGTTACTGGTGTGCCCATAAAATCCTATCGATGGAATTGAACCTTTCGCTCCTTTGTAACTTCCAGAGAAGACTACGCACGCAAGATGGAAGGTTGGTCAACGATTTCCCCGAGTGTGATGGAGGTTACTAACCTTACTTGCAGACATTGCCTCCAAGATGGCGAAGCTTGCAATTCCCAAGAAGCCCCCAGGCTCTCACGGCACTTCTCTTCGCCGTAAGCTGGCTTAATATTCCAAGTTATCACCTCGATGATATTGACAGTACTGTAACCAGATACCGGTATCCCCAAACCCAAGCCCCTGAAAAATGTACTACCATCCACTCCCAAACCCAACTTCAAGCTCTTCCGCAAGCTCCCAGCGAAGCTCCGCAAGAAGATCTGGGAGTTCGCCCTTCCCGGTCCCCAAGCCATCATAATCTATGACCAAGAGTTCCTCGACTCAGACGATGGTCTCTACAAGCGCCGCGCAGCCGCCAAATACCGAATCCCAGCGCTCTTGCATACCGTGCGCGAGTCCCGCAGAGTAGCAGAGACGCACTACCTCCGCGCCTTCGACAGTCTGCTAGACGGCTACCCAGTCTACATCAGGTACGCGACGGACCTGCTTCTGTTCAAGACACCGTGGGCTTTGCTTCACATGGCCGGCTTTTTGAAGCGCTGCGATGAGGTGCAGGTGTGGCAGTTCTTCCGGCACGTGCGCTATGTGGGTATTGGCAGCTTGACGTATCTGTTCAACACGGTTCTGCATCTGCTGCGTCGCTTCAGGAGTCTCAATACGCTTATACTGAAGGACGCTGCGGCCAAGACTCAGGAGGAGCTGGATGGTTTCTATACACCGTTGATGACGTTCCGGGGGCTTTGTGAACATGCCGAGGATAAGGTGGGCAAGGTTGTGGAGGCTCGGGCTGGGTTGGTTGGGAACTTGGAGCATAAGCTTGGTGACACGGATGCAGTGGATGATGCGCTCTTTATTATCATGACGGAGGCGCCGCTGGATGCTATTGCTAAGGACTGGGCGAAGAACTTTGGGATGGAGATGGATGATATGGAATGAGAGGAGTGGCATCGCAAGCACTGTTAAAGCATTCTCCGATACGTGGTGTATTAGGGTACACTCTACTGGATTTGAGGATACCTGGGTAGTTGGTTCTACTATACTATACTATGCTATGAACTTCCCTGAATAGGCTTTCTCAGCGGGTGGTGTATTTGGGGCTATACTAACCTCAAAGAGAGTCGTTACCAAGCATGCTTGGAGGACCTAAAGAATGACAGATGCACTTCCTGACATGCGCTTTGTTAAACGTATAGGGTAATAATTCTTCATATCATTTCCACTAGTATTGTGACGCTAGCTCAACTAGTTATCCATGCTTAGATTCATTTCTTCTTTTGACAACATCTCGAACTCAACACTTCAGAATCAATACGCGTTTCTGTAACGAACCACAAATTTCTCTGCTGATAGTGCGACTTACATGATTATCGGGTTCAAATCACTGCCTAGAAAATTAAAAGAGATAAGCTCTTATAATATACCCCAACTTCACAGAGTTCTTGGTCAGTCTGGTTCATGTCCCTATTTTACTACATTTTATATAGCTCACTTGGGTGAGCGAAATGCTTGTTCTCATCAAACCCGCCCACCCCGACCTCGAATTCTTTTTGACTATCCGTTTTACATGCAATCGCGTGGACTTCTGGTACTGTCCAGTCCGCAAGATCTCCTCCTGTACTATCATCGCCATGTTGACTGCGGTAGGAGTTCACACTACGACTCCATTTGACGCAAAAGCTTGCTACGCCATCTTCGACTCTTTTTTTGTTGTTCCACAAGGTAGAAGATTCAGCCAAAGCCTCCGGCATATTGTAATCTTCCAGTATACTCTGGAAGAGAAAAACAGCCTTAACGTTGCCCAGCCTCATACACGCAAAGCCAATAATTTCCCAACAATCCAACGCTGAGATAGGTTGTGCAGCTTTATTAAGAACTGTTGCACACGGGTATTTTTCTGACTGATGCAAAGCATCAGATTCAAGCAATATAATGTCGAATATCCACACTATTTGGCCTGTTGGACCCCTGGCTTGTACCTCATTTATAAAAGCTAGAAGAGCTTCCTGGCCATGAAATACTGGGAAGTCTTTGCCACCGTGGGCGAAGTAGACCGGATTTGCCAGATGGTGTGGGAAGAGAAGTTTGTAGTGCTTTAATACTATGCTTCTGGACTCCCGGCAAGTTCGAAGCATTGCAATATTATCCGCCTCTCCGGTAAGCCCCAACTTGTGACCAGCAAAGCCATTGTCGAATGTGTGTCTGTGGAGTCCGTGCTTGATACGTATGGCACGGCGGTCCGGAAGCGCAAACTCCCAGATCATGTTTCGCAATTCGCCCGGAAGTTCCTTAAATTTTGCAAAGCCATGAGAAGCTTCCCATTCCATCTCTCGCGGTATCCAGCGTAAGAGCTCTTTCGCACTCAAGTCTTCTATCATTCGGAAAGGCTCATTATTTAGGAAGAGCCGACGCTCATTTCCCAATATGCCTGGGACGCATACCGGTCCGTTGGGGTTTCTTCCTTGATACGTTCGAAGACGACTCTCCTGCCTTGGGTGGAATGTGAATTGATTGGCGTTGTTCCTTGGGTTGGTGATCGAGCTGGAACCCCGAAGCATCTTGCAGGTTGCTCGCTGCCGCCACTACCCTACCTCGGAGTCAGCAGACCGTCAGATATCTGGAGATCTTGAACATACCCAAGTCTGACCCAATGACTGCTGCGAATTGCGCAGTATGTGGGGTAGCTATCCTGATGATGCCGGATGAGAGCTGCGTGTTTGTTTCCACGTATATGGTCTTGTCGAGTGGGTTGTCGAGTGGGTTATAGAAGAAGTCGAAAGGTCGGGACTGCAAAATTTTCAAAAGAATGCAGCGAGGAATTGAATGGACTTAATCTACATTTTCCTTCCTCAATTCACTTAAATATAATTTATGTTTATCTATCCTCTTATAACTCTGAGCTTTGCAAAAGTACTAATTCTAAGTAATTGGCATTTTAAGAGGCGCACCGTTTGAGAGACCCATCCGTGCCTTTTTTTGGCACCTTGTTTGATCACGTAGATTAACCGAGAAGTGAGAAAGGGGGGAAAAGTCCGCTCGCCAATAGTCGGGAGCAACTTAGGCGTAAAACCGCCCGAAAAATATGCATGAACTCTAATAATCTAATAGCTGCGGTCATGCTGCAACCACCGGGAGATTAAGGGACGAGTACAGCTCAAGGTCTTATAATCTGTGAATAAGATAAATGCAAGGAAGGAAGGTGTTCTTAGGGAATAGTCGAATATATACAGTTTGTGGGAGTTGCGAACATGACCTATTCATACCTATTCACATGATATTGGTACCATGAAAAGAGAGGACTAGATATCTACGATATAATGGGCATGCGAATTGATGTCTATATAAGGCCATCGCATCCAACAAACATCCTATCTACGACAACCAAGGAGATGTCATACCTGGACCGCTCAAGTAGACATTAATCTGCATAGCCTGGAGCTCATCGTCGTAGAACTGGAGCAATTCGAGAGTATCACCGGTAGCACCAGTAGGCTCCAGCATGGGAACCGTACCCAGTTCGAGCATCTGGTCGATCCAAGCCTGCTGAGCTTCCTGGGCCGCAGTCATAGTGTTCGGGATGAAGGCGGACTCGGTGATGTTTGCGTAGGGGAAGACTTTACCGGGAACAATGCCGCTGGTGATAACGAAGCCCATCTCCTCATCGATAACCAGGTTGATTCGTGCGTTGGGGTCGGTAGGGTGACTGGAGGGCCAGCTGCAACCGAGAGGGTCAGAGGAAGCGTTTCCGTAGTCTCCTGTATCGATGACTCTCCAGCCTAATTCAGTGAACTGGCAATCGTCGGCGACAGCGACTGAGGTGTTGCTAGCCGGGTTGCTGGAGTTGGCGAAGAGGGCCGCGCTGATGGCCTCTAAATCTGCTCGGCTGGGTTTGGTTCGATTAGCCGGGGGGGTCATCAAGTCCTTGTAGTTGGTTGGAAGTTCCTGGGATGAGAAGGAGAAGCCGTGGTCGCCGCGGAAGCGGTTGATGAAGAGCTCCAGCTCGGTGATATTCTGGCCAACCACCTTGACTCGGCCCCGAAGGACGTTTTGGATATCGTCGTTGCCTTCACTGATATCTAGGGCGAAGTACGCCGTGCCGTTAGTCGTGTCGATTGCAAGCAGGTTGGGCGGGCCAGCCTTGGTGATGGTACGCCACGAGGTCATCATGCCGAGGGCTGCCGGGTGGGAGTTTTCAGTAGCCCTATAGATCGTTGCTAGCGGTAGGGTGTCCGGGTTGTGCGCCAGCATGGAATCCAGGATTTTGGTGACCATGTTTGTCATACATGGTCGGGAGCTAGAGCAGGTGCTGTTGGACGTGTCGCTGCTCGACCCGACGTTGTTCGACGTGTGTAGGTTCGACACGACAGGCATTGCGGATGCCACCACCGCAAGGACCAGGGCTGCCGCTGCGGTTACTCGCATGTTGGCTCTGAAAATATAAAGAGCAAGGTAGCTATAGCTCAAGCAAGTTCTTGGCGGATAAGGTGACTTCGAGGTCGAGCTGGGAAATCGACAGAAGGAACTGAAGTGAAATACCACGTAGACATTTGAAAAGGAAAAAAGCTCGATATATATATA